CTGAAATTGCGGCTGGAACTCCAGATTCCCCATGGCAGAAATAGCTTGCCTTTATGTTTGAATTCAGCAAAAAAGATGAAGTGTGGCATGTTTGGTCACCTTGAATCTCCATGGAGAATCAATGGTCTGTTCTAAGGTTTCCACATTTCAGCATTGTTTGCCATTATGTGTGAATTCAGTTGCAATGTTTTTTTCACAGTTACCCTGCTTCTGCCATAGAATCTGGCAGCAAGAGCAGCCACAGCAGCAGCGGACCCTCCACCCTCCATCTTTCATTCTCCTGTTCTGCCTAGCAACTACTGAGGCAGCGGTAGCCGCACTCTGATTGGCTGCCTCAAGCTGCTTTTTCCTTCTCGTCATGAGCTCCGGTGGCAGTTCACTATTACCAGCAGCAATGACCTTGGACTGGACAGGCACACTCGGCTGTCCTGTCTGGTCACTGCACTTGGAGTGGTGAACTTAAATGGTTGTAAGAATGCTCTACTCGGGGAGCCAGCATCCTCCTTATGTGAAGGCAGCTTTGCCATAGAAGAGCGCTGCACTGCATGCTGACTGCGGGCAGGCAAAGCCATCAGGGAGATCGTCCTGAGACTCCAGGTCTCCCACTCTCTCTCCACCCTCCCCACCACTTCTACCTTCTCCATGATTTTCCTAAGGGCTACCAACAAGCCCTTGCTGTCTCTTGCCACAGGTGCAACAAGCACATTCCTTCTGGCCAGCCAGAAAACTTTTCCACACATGCTTCCATGGGAAGCTATTCCCACAGGATGAGCTCCCTCTGTCCCTGGCATGGGAGTCCACACAGAAGTCCTCCATGTGCCTGAGCACAGCTCTGTGGGAGTGAACACATGTGCTGTGGGAGAGGGGGTAGAGGAGGGTGGGTGTGCTTGCATGTTGGTGCAGAGCAGAAGTGGGGAGCATTCCTGCAGTTCTCCTCTAAAGGAATAGTACTATTCTACTGAGTAGGCAGTTGCTTTGCAGAGCGGCAGAAAAAGGAAAACACATGCAGCCAGCTGAAAATATGCCCAGGGGTGAGAGACAAGCTGAGCAACCAGAAATGGCACACGCTGGGATTGATTCCTAGCTGCAAGGGATGATGGGATATATGCCACCATTTGGAAGGAAGATGGCAGTGCATGGAAACTATTCATGAATAGGTACCTTCTGAATGTGTGAATTCAGGACAGAAGGTAAGAAAGGTGTCTTTGTGGTATCGCTTAGTACTGTGTGTGAACAGCCCCACTATGTCTCTTCTCAAAGATCTTTCAAGCACTCCAGGCCAACCCTTTAAACCTCTTACAGGAAGCCCAACTCTGCACCCCCAGTTGGTGGTGTAAAGGCAGTGCACTTCAGAAAGATGAGTAAAGGAGGCAGGATGCCATTCCTCAGGGTCGGACTGCTGCTTATGTCCCGCAAGTATCTCCCTTTGGAATGTGCTTCCATAAGCAGTGCAGGTTGGCCACTCATTATAAGGTCGTATATCTGAACAGTATCATGCTCTGTGCAAACTCTATGCATTGGCCAAGATGCAAGGGCAAACAATTCTCCTTCCTGAACAGAATACAGCTCTGCTTCCTACAAAAGAAACACAAAATATACACAGTAGAGGAAGGGTGATCACTGGCCATGGACTTTAACTGTGCAGGTAAGAACCCCTCATGCATTCTGAAGCTTAGTGACCACAGCCAGCTCCCTAGTGAAGTAGCAAGACCAGACTCCCACGATTGCCACTGCTTGCCAAACATTCATGAACTTTTTCACCTTGCAGGTCCCCTGGCGCTAAACAAAGAGCTGCTGCAGTCACAGATGTGCAAATCAACTAAACCTGAGCTTGTTGATGAGTCTAACTACGCTAAAGTAATATTACATGTTCATAAAAGAACCAGCGGCATGGCAGGCCCATGGGATTGCTCTGTCCATCTTTTCCAGTAAAACCAGCTGGATCAGATCACCCATCAAATATGAAGTTCTAGGTACAGTTTATTTAGCACTGTAATGAAATATTTAGTCTTTAAATATTTAGTCCATCGGTCAATAATTGCAATAAAGTTAAAATTCAAATTATTGAGAGGAAAACTGCGTTATGCCAATTATGTGATCGCATTTAACATGTCTAGGTCGTGTGCTAAATGGTTGGTGCAGAGGGTGTGTGTGTGTGTGTGTGTGTGTTTGTATGATCAGGATTGGAACCCTTTTCCATGCATCAGTCCTAATAGCCGCCTCCGCTGCCTCCAAGAAGAAAATCCTCATCATTGTTAAAATAGCGGTGTTTTAACAATGCAAATAGGTCATTTGCTCCTACAACAAACAGTAGTGGGGAGGAGAGCTTTTTATTAGGCCTGTGTCCTGTATCTTAATCTGATTAGCCCCTCCCTGGCTGCTAAGAATCCAGCAATACCCCAGATACATTGTGACCATGCATTTAATGTAACATGCAATTCAGCTCCTGAAAGCAGAATCAGTGTTAAAGCCACTAAAACACCTGAGCAAGATTGCAAAATATAACAAGCCAGCTCCTTGGGGATTTAAAAGCCTGTGAAACAAGTATGTTTTATTTGTTTACTGAAACTGGTCAAAGTTGGTACGGGGTCAACCTCCGTATGGAAAACTTATAATGGACAAGTTCCTGCTTCTCAGTTGTGAGTCCAGGTCACATAAGAGGGCAGCCTTACCCAAACACCCCAGAGCTCAAAAGGAGCTGCCATCTTGGAAATCACAACACACAAAAGACCTTCTAGATCCTCCAAATGGTGAGAAGTCTCCTATTGATGGTCACTGCAAATGGTTCTAATGTAGATACTTGCTATGGTCACCCACTGAAACCCTCCCTTCAGCTCTGCTTCCTACCTGCCTTATCCATTTGAACTGCAGAAGTTTCTTGTTCTTTCTAGCGGCATCAGAGGAGAATGAGAGAATTGTAGCATAACTCAGCAAACTTCTAGTTCTTCTCTGCCAGGAACCCCCTGAATTGAGTCTATGCCACCGGCGGTGCTGGAAAGGCACTATGTGTACACATATTAAATGATAATTAATAGCAGTCAGTGGAGGCTCCTTCCATGTTGATGCACTTCTTAAGATGCTGCAACTATCAATTATTCATCAGCATGAAGACTAAAGATGGCAAGGTGTTTTTCAGCGCAACCCTATTGCATTCAGTGGCAATCGCTCTCAGGCAAATGTGGGTAGGACTGCTGCCTTACGGACTTAAAGCCATTTATTATATCAAACTGTTACATGCGAACAAGGCCTAGGAACCAGGAGGAAGAAAGGCTAATAGGTCAGGCTATGTGTTACTATATTCTGGGATGTTGACATTATTAACAAAGTTTTAAGGAATGCCCAGGTAGAGGTTTGTTTGTTTTTTTCCCCCCTGGTATCAATCCCTGAAAGAAGTGTGCAATTTGGATGAAGGTTTCAGATCAATTTGCACATGTCAGCTAACTTGTATCTTCTTTAGGAATTTTACATGTGGATCCCAGTCTCAAAGGAGTTCATGCTTAATTTATTATGCTGGACTTATTATGACTAGATTGTATATTTGATATCTGCATTCTTTTCTTGATTAATAACATTCCCACAAGCACAAAAGCAGCAAGACAAAAAGGCACACATATACCATTCAGTGTCAAGTCTGAAAATGGTCTCAAGGCAGATGAGGCTTTTATTGAACAATCACGATGACTCAAAAACTGGGTTTTCAAGGGGCCACAGATGTCATGCTCCATTTGTAACCCTCCTTTCCTCCACCACTTCTTTTCCTCCACACATGGAAGGAGGGAAAACCACATGATACTTTCTGACTGGCAATGCTAGGAGCTACACACCAGGAAGTGCTGTGTTATTTCGGCAGGTTGCTCGAAAAACAGGAGTGGCTAGTCCTCTCTCTCAATGCCTTGTTTATGGATAATGTACCAATGTTAATCTGTCATAATTCCAGAGGAAAATCGTTATTCCAAATAACGCAGAATTCATCAATGCGATCTTCCACATCTCTGGGGAGAGGGGTAGCTTTATTTCATCAGAGTGTTCTTTTAGCTGTTTTAAACTTGTACATTTTTTGATTTCTTGTAAGTCACACCGAGTCTCTTTTGAGAAAGGTGGCAAAGAAAGCATCATCAAAGAACATATGCAGAGCGTCAACATGGAAACAGGGATGGATACAACCGAGATAAATACTGCGTGTCTCTATTTCTCGCATACATTAATTCAGTATTATCCGTGCCATGCCTGGGGCTGGGCTGCGCCTCCTCGCAGCGCATCGTGCGTTTGCAATACAAATATTTGATGTTCGGCAACTACGGAGGCTTGGAAAACTGGAAGAAAGGAAACGGGGGCGGGGCGGAGGGCCGGCGGAACAGAAGCGCGAGACACCTGCAGAGAGGCTCCCGCCCGCCGGCTGGCCTGCGGGGAGCTTTCCTTGGTCGGCTTGCGCTCCCCCCGGGAGCGTTTTCACTTCGAGAAGGGTGTCTCTGGGAAGCCGCTAGGCAGCCCCCGCTTGGCACAGGGTGGAACGGGCACCGGGCCGGCCACCGACTAAATTTCATCCCACCCGGCAAACTCTCCCATCCCTGGCCACGCACTCCCCACACCGCAAACTGCCCCTTCTCGGTCTGCTTTCGACTACCACTCGGCACTCTTGCAACGCGCCAATTCCCTGCTTCATGCATGCGCGCTGTCTGGAGGTTTTTGTTTTGTTTTTTTTTTTTTTTGCTCCCCTTGCCCGCCCTTTCTAATAGAAGGAATGCTCCGCCCTTCGGCCGTTTTGATTCGCAGCTGGCATAACGGATGGAGCAGGCGAAGAAGGCGATTGGCTGGCCGCGCCTTGACGGGTCCCTTTCCCGAACCCGTGGCTACCTGTTTGATGAGGGGGCTCCTCGCGCTCTCCCCAAGTGCTGCTGCTGCGATAGCGGCTGCAGGGAGCGAGGGCGGGCGCGGCGGCGTCGTTTGCGGAGCAAAGGCAGGACCGCAGCCAGCCCAGAACGCGGGAGCCCGGACCTCGCATGGAGTCGTGGTCGTGCCCCTGCTCCCCTTTACCTCTGTGGAGCCCCCGCAGCGGGGTGAGGCTCCTGCTCCTGCTCCTGACTGTGCGCTTGGGGAGCGGGTGAGTAGCTCGAGGGTGGAAGAAACTCCCGAGTGGCGCCTGCCGCGACCACGACCGCTACCTTCAACACTGCCCCCTTCCTTCAGCGCTTGCTTCATGTGGCCCCCGGCTTGGCTCCGTGGCTTCGTTTGCCAGTGAACCTGGCAGCGCCTCTCTCCCCATCCCTCCGCGTGGGTTTGCTCAGTTGCATGCGTGGCTGTCTATGTGTTGGTGTTTTAACTTTCCCGCTTTTTCTTTGCCGAAGTGATTTTGGGCTCGGTTGTCTGGGCGGGGGGAGGCGTGCCAGTTTGTCCCCTGCCCTCGGAGACGAAGAATAAAAGCAGGCGAAAGTAAATATTGAAGCAGTTGGGCAAACGGATGGCCTGCCCCAATCTTAGAGCAGATCTACTGAAATGCATGAGATTTAAGCTAACGTTGAAGATAACTCTGTGTGTCGTGCATCCAAAGAAAAACTAAGATCACTTCTCTTTCCTTAAGTTGACGCTCCGGTCCCGACTTAGGGGGAAGTCCTGCTGACTTCCAAACTTACTCTTAAATAAACGTGATTCAGGTGGTTGTCGGAGTCCTGCGCATCCCTGTCCTAAACAGACTGGCTCAGAAGTAAGTCACTTCGGAGTACAGGTGTTTATGATGATACATTGGCATCGCGAGCCTGTGCCTGCTTACTCAGAAGTTCAGTCCCAGTGAGTTCAGTGGACTGATTTTTACGTAAGTGGACTTAGAATTGCAGCCTGTAGGTGTTAAACTCTGATGTGGGATTTCATAAAGAATAACCGTGCAAGGAAAGCCAGCTTTCATTCTATAACAAAATAAGTAAACTTTTCATGTTGGCACAGAGGACCCACCAGAGCTGGTTGCAGCATCCACATGGTAAAGGATTAAGAGTCTGATTCTCTCCCTATCTCACCCCGTATTTGATTTGCTGGAAATCCTACAGAGCCTACAGTTTGAAGCACATTATCTCATATCTTTGCTTAGGATGAGGCTAAATGGGAATGCCTTTTGGGTAAGACTGTATAGATTGGACTGCCCAGCCAAAACCCAAAGCACTTGCCTGGAGGTGCTATTGAAAATGGCGACTTGTACACATGGTTAGAACTGGGGTGTAAAACTGCACATTTTAGGCAGGATGTCACCTTGGGTTTAATGGGGCTGACTTCTGAGTAAACATATTGGGATGTGACATTGAAGCACTTCCAAATAAGTTCCACTGAGATCAACAGGACTTTCTTCCAGGTAAGTATTTATTAGAAGGTTGAGGTGAAATTCTGGGTATTTTATGCCAGAAAGGTGGTTCTGGATTTCTCACTCAAAATAATGCATTTGTCTTCCAATCTCAGATGTATGGAAGGCAATGTGGAAGAGAAGTCTGTGTTATTCCTCTTGGAAACACTGATGCTGGCTTTTGTGTTATAGACACAATTGATTTTATGTGTGCACAAATTATCTTCAACCAATCCCTCAAACTAAAGGAAATGGATGTCCGAAGAGGGTGTTTTCTTGGGGAACCCACTGCTGTATGAAATTTTTGCTTAAGTAATGGTTCAGGAAAAGGGCAGCATTATCAACCACTTCCAAATCCTCAGTGGTTTCTCTTTCTCTAAATAGATAGGCACCATAGAAAAATATGTGCTTGTGAACACACATGGAACAGCTGGGATGCTCATACAGGGATTTTGGAAGCCTGTTGGATTGGTAACGTAAACTGTAAAGAGATCTCCTTCAGGCTGAACCTATAGTAGCTCCTCTTCAGTAGTCAGTATACATAGACTGCATGTGTGTGTCCATAACAGATTTTACAAGAAGAAAAGAAGAAAAGCAAATCAATTTTCCCCTTTCAATGCCTTTAATAATTCATAGCGGTAGGCATTGTGCCAACGGTTCCTACTTTTCACAAAAAGATTGAATTACAGTGCCAGTTAACAATGGAGAATGCCTTGTCTTTTAAATCATATAGGCACAGTTATGATCCTCTGTGTGTGTGTGTGTGTGTGTGTGAGAGAGAGAGAGAGAGAGAGAGAGAGAGAGAGATTGAGAGAGAGAGAGAGAGAATGATAAACATAACAAATGTGTAGTACCTAGGGTGGTTTAGAATAAAAACCTTTTAACTATTTGAAAAAGTGTTTGGTAAATGTGACAGCGCAACATGGAGAATTCAATCTCTGAACTGTGCAGATCTGAAGTGTATCTCAGCTTCAGAAGGCTGGGACACCAGGTAGAAAACCTACTGATTAGCCTTTTCTTAGGCTTGTGCTATAGTCTTGTTTGACTTAAAGGTAGGAAGGGAGAGCCTTGACAGATCATGGAACACTTTCTCTCACAAAGATGCTAATGGAAATGAAAACAACACAGTAAATGCTTCTTGTGAATGAATCTTAATGAATATGTTGCTTCAAGGGTACAAAAATACAGAATGGTTTCAGAGTGAAAAGACTCAGTACTTTTTTTTTGCTAGTTGGAAGAGGGAGGGAGAGTAGTTTTAGAAACTGGGAAGGAGAGAAATAAGCTATTACTGCACAATTAAAACTGACAAAGGTTAGAGGAATATTTAGTAACTGCCTAAGAAATGTTTAATTTTACAGCTTAGGTATAATTAGCTTTAAATTACAAAACAATTAAGTGGAGGGGGAATTGCTTGATGCATCATTTTTATTCTGGGTAGTACTTCCTCAGCTTAGTGTTCAGTATAAACACCTGCATGAGCTGATTTTTCTTAAGGCATGCTTCCCTTCTCCCAGATAATAGATAAGTGGGAACCGAGACCTTTATAAGCTAGGCACATATTTTTGCCTCCTAAAATTTTTAAAGCTTTAGTGCCATCTACCCAACCCAGTGCTTTCCAGATGTGTTGACTACAACTCCCATCATCTCTTGACAGCATGGCCTTTCTAGGAAGGGCACTGTAGTCTGACAATTCTGAAGGCCACTATATTGCTTTAGTGTATAATTTATTAATACTTACTATTGAAAGAACTATGAATGAAAAATAAAACAGCCACGATTATAGTCCACTCACACAACTTGATGGTGCAACTGTACTTGGAATATTGGGTACAGCTGTGCTCACTACATCTAAAAAGAATATTGTATTGTTAGGAAAAGTGCAGAAATGGTCAAGTGAAATAATCCAGGGTTTGGAGCAACTTCCCTGTGAGAAAAGGTTGCAGCATCTGGGATTGCTTATATTAGAAAAAGGGAGGCAAGTAGGCATTTGGACAGGTGAACAAAAGTATGGGTGGTATGGAAAAAGTGCATAGGAAGACATTTTTTTCTTATGGATAATACTTGAACTCAGAGTAAACCCATGAACCTGGAAAATTAAGGACAGATAAACAGAGTACTTCTTCACACAGCATATTGTTAATTCATGGAAATTGTTAGCACAAGATGGTAGTTAGGGTGGCCTTAAAGGGGTTTGTGGAGAAGCCTATCAATGGCTATTAGGCCCATTGACTATGCTGCCTCCTGGAGCACATGGGTGGGAGGGTGTTGGTGCACACAAGCCCTACTTGTGGGTTTCTCATGGTCAGCTTGTGGCTGCTCTGTGATGAGGATGGTGCATTAGAAGGACCTTTGGTTTGGTCCAGCATATTTCTTATGTTCTAATGACTGGGCAGCTGCTCTTGGGAATATAGGGACACACAGTTTGAACAGTTTCCTACCAATTGGACATTTTACAGTACATCTCTTCACCTCTTAATTTTACTTTATCGGCCTTGAGAGAGAGAACCCCTCCAAAACTAATAAATATACATCTGCATTTTTATTATCAAGAAATGGACCAGATGCTTAAACAGATTCAAGCAGAAGAAATTCTCAATGATCCCTGACTCAAATGACTCAGTAAGAAGACATACTGAAGAGTTTCTGTTACATTGCCTTCTATTTAAACAGCATAATTATATGCACAGATCTGCATGCTAAAGCAGCCATTCAGGTCTAGGGCCAAATCCAGCTGTCTAGTGTTCCCCCTAAAAGACCATGTGCCATTCCTGTATCCCTTCCTCCTTTCATCCAACAATTGTTAGACGGTTTCCTGGCTTCGTTCACAGATTCTCCATTGTAAAACTTAGTAACTGGCAGTAAAAAACTTGAAACTAAAATATGCTGGTGTATTGGTCCTCCCCGCTTTCCTTTGGCCTGTTTGCCTATGGTCACATCCATCTCAAGAGCTTCTATAAAATGGAGTGTGGCCCCTGGGAAGAAAGAGTTTGAGCACTTCTGTCTTACAATATGTATGCTGATCAACAAAATCACCCCTATTGAATTGTGTTGTTTGTTCCAAAGCACGAGAAGATATACTAAGGTTACCAACTGCAAAGTCAGCTTTTCATTGTGTTAACAAGCAAATGAGGCAAGGAAGGAGAGGTGTGGCAAACACAACTGGGTGAGGAAAAGTCTACTGAAAGTGACTAAAAGGCAGGAGCTTGAACATGTGGTGTAAGCCTAGTGATGCAATTCTGTCTGCTGTGTGGAACCTCACCAGAGTAGACTACCCCTGGGAATGTGACTTCAAATGTTCACACTTGCAACACCCACATAAATACACCATCCCTAAGAAGCATGCCAGGATAGCACAGAAAGGACATCATGCAATTGCTTTAGCTACCAAGTAGGAGTTTGAGCAATCTTTTCTATGTATCACTTTCACAAAAGATGGGAATTATGAAGCAGGGAATTCTTTCTACCTGTCTCTTCTTGTTTTCATCACTGCACTTGACCTTTGCAGTCTCCCACAACGCCTGTATGTGATGCTAACCCTTCTGCAACCTGCCCCCCACCCCCACCCCTGACCACTTTTTCCATGAATCCTTTGGCACAACCCCTAGTTCCTATATCCTACTGTAACTAAGCAGCGTTCTCAAAAAGTTGTAGATGGATATAAGGCAGCCTTTCCCAATATAGCATCCTTTAGATGTTTTGGACTCCAGCTAACATCAATCCTAGCTGGTCTGGCCAGTGATCAGATAATATGAGAATCATAATTGAAACTTCTGGTG